CTTTTAGTATTTTTAGTAACTACACTTAACTTGAAGTTGTTTAAATAGAAAAATAATCACATAAAAAATTTCTATGTATTTTAAGTTTAGATAATAGAGTATGTATCTGTGTAATGCTGTCTAGATTAATCTGATAAAAATACAATTAATATTGGTCTATTGCATGTATATAACTTTAGAAAGGTGTTTTATTAGTACTAAGGTTAAACAATTAAATTTGCAATAAGTGCATTGTTTTGAAATTCTTAGCAAAACTTTGCCCTTCATAAAAGTTTCATCTATTTTTTACTTCAGTAAAGTTCTCCTTAAAAGGAAAGTTCTATTCTCCACTTGCAGTAAACTTTTTTTCTGGTTTGCATTCTAAATTAAGGTGATACCTGTGTAGGTTTTTTCCAAAGATACACTGAGGGATGCTGAGGTTTAAAGTCATTGCCTAGCTGGTCATCATAGGACCCAATAAGGAGTTTTTCAACCCTGCCCCACTCTGTCCCTCCCTGTTCTTATTTTCCAGTGTCTACTATGCCCATATTTATGACAATGTGCATCCAATGTGTAGCTCCCACATGAGTGAGAACAAGAGATATTTGGTTTTCTGTTTCTGTGTTAGTTTGCTTTAGCACAATGGATTGCAGCCATATCCATGTTGCAGCAAAGGACATGATTTTGTCGTTTTTACAGCAGCTTAGTTTTCCACAGTCCATGGCATTTTCCAATCTACCTTGGATTTTCAATCTACCTTGGATGTACCTGGGTTGACTCCATGTCTTTGCTATTGTGAATAGTGCTGTAATGAACATACATGTACATACATCTTTTTGTTACAATGAATTTTTTTTTTTTTAAGACAGGGTTTCCCCATGCTGGTCAGGCTGGTCTTGAACTCCCAACCTCAGGTGATCTGCCCGCATTGGCCTCCAAAGTGCTTGGATTACAGGCGTGAGGCACCACGCCCAGCCTGTTACAATGATTTATTTGCCTTAAGGTATACACCTAGTATAGTAATGGGCTTGCTGCATCCAATGGTCACTCTTAGTCCTTAATTTCAAAACTGCACTCCACAGCAGCTGAATGAATTTACATTGCCACCAATGGTGTGTAAGTGTTCCTCTTCTCCACAGCCTCCCCAACAACTGCTTTGCTTTTACGTTTTAACAGAAGTCCTTCTAACTGGTGTGAGATGGTATCTCATTGATGTTTCTTTTCCATTTCTCTGATGATTAGTGATGGTATGCATTTGTTAACATGTTTGGTGGCCAAATATGTGTTCTTTTGAAAAGTGTCTGTTCATTTCCTTTGCCCATTTTTTAACGGGGTTATTTACTTTTTGCTTGTTGATTTGTCTAGGTCCCTTATGAATTCTGGATAATAGGCCTTGGCTGTATATATAGTTTGTGAATATTTTCTTCCATTCTGTAGGCTGTCTGTTCAATATCTTGATAGTTTCTCAGGCTATGCAGAAGCTCTTTAATTAAATCATACTTGTCAATTTTTCTTTTTCTTGCAATTGCTTTTGAGGACTTAACCATAAATTCATTGCCAATGTATTGGCTGGGAGAGAGGTGATAGGAGAGGGAGGGAGAGAGAAAGAGAAACAGAAAAAGAGACCCTTAAGGATACCCAGCCAGAGCCTACCCCTTCCTGTGTTTTGGCACCAAAATATAAAGTCAGTTGAGAGAAAAGATGAGTAGACTCAAAGTTAGGTAAGCAAGTTTTATTAACCTGCAAGGTTGCTCCATAACAATCAGAGGAGGCAGCCCTGAGCTTACAAAACTATGGGTTTATATGGGTGAGAGAGGCATAAGTGAAGTTTCAGAACTGAGATAATTTATCAGTTTGTAACAAGCACAAAGATAGTTTGTTGGCCTGTGACAGACTTACAATATACGTCATCCTGTGACTTTCATGGCAGCAGTTTAAAAAAACAGGATTTTACAGGTATGTGTAAAACAGAAATTTACAAGTAAGTGTAAGAAAAGATTGTTTCCCATGACCTCTCCTATGCTGCCCAGCTGGCTGTAATCAGGCTTTGCTCAGTATAGCATGTCTGGGAGTCTTGCTGTGGTGCCTAAATAAGAGTTTAGGAATGTAGCTGCAGAGCATTCAGAAGGGGCTGTCAGCTGCTGCATGGAGGGGGTTTTCTGGGGCCGCTTATCCTTAACACATACCTGTTGTAAACAATTATAATTTTCAAATTGTTCTAAAGAGTACATGTGCTTCTAAGGTGATTTCTACTGAACAAGCAATTCAAACACAGTGGAGAGGAAAGAGAAATAACTATCAGTGATGTGTGGCTCAGCAGGTAACACTTGCTGCCTTCTAAAATGACTTTACTTGTAAGAGTCTGAAGATTCCATTAGAAATACTTGTATTTAAAGTGTAACTATATAGGGAAATGAATATGTTCATTTGCTTGAATATAAGAACCACTTCGGGCCAGGCCCGGTGGCTCACGCCTATAATTCCAGCACTTTGGGAGCCTGAGGCAGGTGGATCATGAGGTCAAGAGATCGAGACCATCCTGGTCAACATGGTGAAACCACATATCTACTAAAAATACAAAAAATTAGCTGGGCATGGTGGCGCGTGCCTGTAATCCCAGCTACTCAGGAGGCTGAGGCAGGAGAATTGCCTGAACCCAGGAGGCGGAGGTTGCTGTGAGCTGAGGTTGCGCCATTGCACTCCAGCCTGGGTAACAAGAGCGAAACCCCGTCTTAAAAATAAATAAATAAATAAATAAATAACACAATTAAGAAAACTAAAATGAACTCCCCAAAAAGCTAGAAATACTTGTGTTTAGAAAACCAGCTTCAGGTTTCACCCTTGTACCTTTTAGCCATTAGCTAAGAACAATAAGCATTTGGCACTGATGGATAATTCAGACCAGCAATTCCTAGGGGAGAACTAGATGGCTGGGTTGGTCATCAAAAAGAACTAAAGCATCTCTGAAGGCAATCAGCCCCTAACACTGTGACGGAGGCACTGGAGGTAGGGCTTGTTGTTTCTGCCTTCCCCACAACTCCTTCAACGTGAATAAGACGTTATTTTTAAACCACTTTGTAAATTACAATTTTTCATTTCTGTGATAATTATTCCCCATTTCTCAAAGATGCCTTTCTGTAGTCTGAAAAAGTAGTCTGTCCAGAGGCAACCTCTAGCGGTAATACTAAAGATCACAATCAAGGACAGTTCTGTGCCTGAGTGCCAGGATGTACCCAGAGTAGCTCTTGACACTTTGGGTTTAAGTTGTGATCCATCAAAAGATAAATTAAACTTATTAATATCTCTATGTAGGGAAATTCTGACAAGCATTTTTGTAACAAGATCATTTTATTAGTTATAAAGCTTCAACAATACTTAGTAAAAAACTAATAGATAGGGTTAACTACATGAGACTTTTTAGGGAACAAAAATTCATATAAAAGCAAAAAAGAGAGAAAGAGAGAGAGAGAGAGAGAGACTGTCCTTGACTAACAGTTTAAAAGTTAGTTCATTTACTGACATTATTTTCCCCCAAATTAATTTATCAAGTCAGCGTTCACTTCCTACTAATCTCCTAAAGCCATCTCACTAAAAATTATGCTTTCAAAACGAATTAATGAGCTTAATTCATTTTCTATTTGTGTATGTTTTGTCTTACTTCCTTAATTATTTTGACATGGAATTGTTAGCTTTCAATGCTACTGAAAAGACTTCCTTATATTCTTCTAATTGGGTTCTAATCTCTTCATAGGCACTTTTTATTTTGGATAATTTACATTCCATATCTTTAAGTGTGAGTTTCATCTTATTTAGTGAAGCCGTATTACCCTTCTTTGAATACTCTAATTGTTTTTCATATTTTTTGTTCCTAAAACAATGAAAATAATGCACTTCTAAAACAATTATAACCTAATTATCATACAGATGTTGCATTTGATTTTGAGTCAATGATTCAGAGAGCAATTTTAAATGTTTAAAAAGAAGCTAAAGCTTAAAATATTTATCAGCAATATCAATGAAACTAATAACTGAATTCACTTATAAAAGTTTGAAATCATTGTTAGTATTAATGTAATTTGATCATTTAAAAGTAACAGAATCCATTTATAATTTTAAAAATTGAACAATGCAGCTTAAGATCAATTCAAAAGTATTCCATAATTTTTAAATCACAATTTTCTCTTTTCCTAATAATCTTATATTGATAGGTCTTAATAATCAAATGCTCTATAGTATGATCATTACTCTAAAAGATCTATTTTATTACCATAATAATGAAAATTTACATATTTAAAAGAAAAAACAGATGTCACTTTTTTTTTTTTTTTTGAGACAGAGTTTCACTGTTGTTATCCCAGACTGGAGTGCAATGGCCCGATCTCGGCTCACTGCAACCTCTGCCTTCTGGGTTCAAGCAATTCTCCTGCCTCAGCCTCTCAAGTAGCTGGGACTACAGGCACGCACCACCACACCCAGCTAATTTTTGTATTTTTAGTAGAGACGGGGTTTCACCTTGTTGACCAGGATGGTCTCGATCTCTTGACCTCCAGCCCAGATGTCACCTTTTATCTAGAACTCTAAGAGAGGCAGAGGAAGCACAACATATACACACCAAAATACAATTTTCAGTGAAGTAAATGAAGGCACATTATAGATAAACTTACCTGATTTTAAACTAACCTGTAAATAGATTTCTTCTAATTTTCCTATTGCCTGCATTACCCTTTCTTCTAGCTCCAATTATATTCTTGTACTTGAAGTTCTACCACATTTTTCCATGTGTCGTAAGATTTGACATTTCTTCTTCTAACATCTTTTTATCCTCCTCAATTTCTTCACATTCCTGTTGTACTTCTTTCAAAGATGATAACTCCTGTTGAATAACTTGATTGTTTTTAGTCAAATAGACACATTTTGAAGATATAGCTTCCAGCTCTACTGTAAGATCATCAAACTACATCAATAAAATAATATAGCTTGAAATGAAGTAGGCTGAGAATAATCTCATACAAACTAATAACAAAATTTGAGGTAAATTTATTTGCAAGAAAATGTTATCTATAGTGTAGATTTTTCAAATGTTAAACCCTCAAATTACTCAGAAATTCCAGAACAAAGTGGAAGCAGAATGAGTCACAAAAATACATTTTTGACTATCATGTTTGCTACAGAATTTTTGCACTTTATCTTACTTTATTTTTCTGATAATTTATTATTGTTCTTCCTTAAATAGCTCTAAGTTACCTGTTACTACAAAGTTGCAAACCCCATTTTCTCATCATCATTTCCCAAAATTTGTCAGCAAAAAAGTTTCAGATATTATATTGAGTTATTTAGGCCAAAGTCAATAAATGGCTCTCAGAATAAGACTTTGAAAATAATATAATACACTATGCAAGGCATGGTGGCTCAGGCCTGAAATCCAAGCACTTTAGAAAGATCACTTGAGGCCAGAAATTCGAGACTAGACAGAACAACATAGTAAGACCTCCATCTCCACAAAAAAAAAAAAAAAAAAAAAAAAGAAAATTAAAAAAATTAGCCAGGCATGGTGGCTCATGCCTGTAGACCCAGCTAGTTGAGAGACTAAGGCAAAAGGATGGCTTGACCTCAGAGTTCAGGGCTCCAGTGAATTACGACCACACCCCTGAATTTCTGCCTGGATGACAGAAACAGACCATATTTAAAAAAAAAAAAACAAAAAACAGACCATATCTCAAAAAAAAAAATACACAAAAGAATGAATCCTATAAATAAGGATTCTAATACCACAAGCCTTTCCCTAAGCTGCAAATATTTTATGCTAATTTAAATTTATTTTAATAAGTAATGATGTTTGGGGTAAAGGTCATAGAACACAGCACCCAGAAATAAATAGCAATCAAATTTAGATATAGGAGTCTGGATCCTGGGCGCAAATTGCCGCTGCTGGCAGCACTGGTAGCTTCGGGATTTTTCGTTTGTTTATTTTGAAATTGAGACTTGTTCTGTCACCCAGGCTGGAGTACAATGGCGCAGTCTCGGCTCACTGCAACCTCTGCCTCCCGGGTTCCAGAGATTCTCCTGCCTCAGCCTCCTGAGTAGCTGGGATTACAGATGCCCACCACCACACCCGGCTAATTTTTGTATTTTTTGTAGAAATGGAGTTTCACCATGTTGGCCAGGCTGGTCTTGATCTCCTGACCTCGTGATCCACCTGCCTCGGCCTCCCAAAGTGCTGGGATTACAGGTGTGAGAGAAATGCACTTTTAATAACTATCATTTCATCAAAATCTTATGAAGGGAACAACATAGGAAGACATTAACATTGCATTTGTTTTTGCTTTGAGTCAAAATAGAAGCCTCTCAGGACTGGAACATCAGGAAGCAGCTTGACTACTAGGGAGGTCTTCAAGTTCCACAGCAGACAGGTCTGCATTTGCTCACACTGGTCTTTCCTTTCACCTTCCATGTTCAGGGTGAATTGCCCCATTCCTTGACTTTTTCAAGAACCCATCGACTGGTATCTTATCTTCTGTCTTGCCTCACTCATATTCATCCCACATATGCTTTCCAGAATGCTCTTATGAATGAGTCAATCTCATATCTTCCTCATTAAAAACCTTCCATGGCTCCCCACTGCTTACCAAATAAAACTCCACCCTTGGCTTTCATAACTCTCATCCAGATTCAACTTCTATTTTCCTTCTGTCTCATGCCAACCCCAAACCACAATTAAACAAAAGTGTAAGCTCCTGGTTCCTTCCTGTCTGAAATTGACTTTCTTGATCCTCTTTAAATATTATATATTTTCATAAAATCTTTTTTTAGAGACAAAGGTCTTACTCTGTCACCCCAGCTGGAGTGCAGTGGCATGATCGTAGCTCACTGCAGCCTCAAATTCCTGGCCTCATGCAATCCTCCCAGCTTAGCATCCCAAGTAGTTAGGATTTCAGATGCAACCCACCATGCCTGACCACATTCTCCTAAAAGCTTAATTTGAATCCCTACCCTCTCTCTGAATCCCTTCCTCCCTCGTCACTTTTACAGGTTGCCTTCTCAGCTTTATACAGATATATCATTACCTTACAATACAGCTGTCTTAGCTCCTCTCTTAAATAAGGCCTTGGATGGCAGAAATACAATTTAAACTGTAGTATACCCACAGCTTGTCCTCCTGCAGTACCCAAAAGTTCCTTACATACAGAGTGTGCATTCAGAAAAAGATAGTATTTGTTGCTAGACACATATTTTGTTCTCTCTGAACACTGGCTATAGTGAATGTTTTGCACATGTTTTTCTATAGGGATGAGGGGATGGCGCTATACAATGATAAGTTATAACATGGTCCCCCAGGCTGGGGACAGTGGCTCATGCTTGTAACCCCAGCATTTTGGGAGGCTGAGGTGGGCAGATCACGTGAGGCTAAGAGTTTGAGACCAGCTTGGCCAACATGGCAAAAACCTGTCTCTACTAAAAATACAAAACTTAGCAGGCCATTGTGGCTTATGCCTGTAGTCCCAGCTACTTGGGAGGCTGAGGCATGAATTACTTGAACCCAAGAGGCAGAAGTTGCCGTGAACCGAGATCATGCTACTGCATTCCAGCCTGGGCAGCAGAACGAGACTCTGTCTCAAAAACAACAAAAATAAAAAGCAAACAAACAAAACCAAGGTCTCCTAAAGTCCTCATCTCTGAATCTTACTTTAATTCCTCTTTCATACATCATAAACAATGCTTAGTTTGTAAAGTTATTAATAATTTAAGAAGCTTACTTCTTAAAAGCCAAATTGGACGAAGAGAGATTTTTGATTATTATTCCAAAATCCAGTTAAGTGTTTAATCAAACATAATTAAACATTTTAAAATAGTTGTAAAGGATTAAAAAGATAAAATAAGGCCAGGCGCGGTGGCTCAAGCCTGTAATCCCAGCACTTTGGGAGGCCGAGGCGGGTGGATCACGAGGTCAAGAGATCGAGACTATTCTGGTCAACATGTTGAAACCCCGTCTCTACTCAAAAATACAAAAAATTAGCTGGGCATGGTGGCACGTGCCTGTAATCCCAGCTACTCAGGAGGCTGAGGCAGGAGAATTGCCTGAACCCAGGAGGCGGAGGTTGTGGTGAGCCGAGATCGCGCCATTGAACTCCAGCCTGGGAAACAAGAGTAAAACTCTGTCTCAAAAAAAAAAAAAAAAAAAAAAAAGATAAAACCCTTGATATCCAGGCAGTCTGGAAGTAGAAATATATCCTAAATGACAGCTTTGGAGTAAGTTTACTAAATGTCCATTTTATCATGATTTATATTCAGAGGAGTACTACCCAGAGAAACCTTCTGCATCTGTAGCTATGGCACAGAGAATGACACAGACAGGAGGGCATTCTCCCATTTCCCCTTCCCACACCTTTGCTCTAGAATCACAGAGAGCCTCAGTGAAAGTCCCCAGGCCCCTAGAGGAGGGATCCAGTGAACCAGCAAAATGCAGACTAATCAAGATAAAGTGGATCCAAGAAAGGACTTTGGCTTGACAGTGAATCTTCACTTTCTGGCAGTAGGAAAACAAGGTAGTAGTGTTCTTGACATTTCTCATCAGGCCAGCTCTTCTGGTTCCACTGGGAATTCTGTTCCAGTCTGGGAGATGCTGCTGCTACCAACACACAGGGTTCAGGTCCTGCCCTGGAGGAGCTCAGCCCTGGGGTCTAATCCACAATCCCTGTGGAACACAGCAGCCCACATGGCACCACTCAACACTGACGGCAGTGACAATGAACACCAGGCCAGAATAGCAAGTGTGGGTTCTACTCCTGAAGCAGGCTTCTAGAGATCAGCATCCTCATCACTTCATTACTACCTGCAAGAGGGAGGAAGATGGAAGAATTTCATAGCAGTGAAGTCTGAGAGTTCGGTAAAGCTCTGATTAGGTTGCTCCAGGTCTAGTTCAGGGTAGCTGCAGATTTAAACTAGAATTATTGCTTTTATCCTGGGGGAGATGAGATTATCAGAGACTTCTCTACAAAGTACCAAAAAACGTCAAGAAATAATATTTACTTTTTTAAAAACTTCTGATTGTAAAAATGCTTATATGAAGTTTAAAAAGGCAGAATAAAACAGTATATATAGTATAATTCTAATTAAAATTTAAAATGTCCCAACAAAGTTATAGTAAAATGCCTAAAAGGGATATACCAAAATAACATTCTGGATGTGGAAACACAAGTGATTTTTTACTTTTTTTTTTTTTTTTTGAGACAGACTTGCTCTGTCACCCAGGCTGGAGTGTAGTGGCTTGATCTTGGCTCACTGCAACCTATGCCTCCCAGGTTCAAGCAATTCTCCTGCCTCAGCCTCCTGAATAGCCAGGACCACAGGCATGAACCACCATGCCCAACTAAGTTTTTTTTTTTTTTTTAGATGGAGTCTCACTCTTGCCCAGGCTGGAGTGCAATGGTGCAATCTCAGCTCACGGCAACCTCCACCTCCTGGGTTCAAGCAATCTTCCCACCTCAGCTTCCTGAGTAGCTGGGATTACAGGCGTGCACCACCACACCCAGCTAATTTTTTGTATTTTTAGTAGTGTCAGGGGCTTCACCATGTTGGCCAGGCTGGTCTTGAACTCCTGATCTCCTATGATCCACCTGCCTTGGCCTTCCGAAATGCTGGGATTACAGATATGAGCCACCATGCCCAGCCAACTTTTTGCATTTTTAGTAGAAATGGGGTTTTGCCATGTTGGCCAGGCTGGCCTCAAGTGATCCACCCACCTCGGCCTCCCAAAGTGCTGGGATTACAGGTGTGAGCCATTGCACCCAGCCTACTTTTCCTAATTTTATAAGGTTTCAACAATAAATTCACATTTCTTTGGTAATCAGAAAACTGACATAAAAGAATGAAAACATTTTCCCTGAAAGGAGGGTATTAATTATTTGCTTCATTTTTAGTGGTGGCCTTTAATGCAAAAAGAAATATAAACTCCCTTGAGGAATCGATAGTTCTATCACTTCAAATAAAGCATATACTGTAGATTTATCCAACAGTAAAGTCCATGATGAAACAAAGTGATAAAGTGAAGAGTGCCCCAATTCTTCTATAAGTGGATGATGGTGTGGCCTAAAATAAATGTTTCCCGCTTATTACTGCAGGGTTGAGAGACTTGGAATGAAGGCGAAGTTTCCCACCCACATAAAGCTGAGTGAGACAACAATTGCAAGAGTAATGAAAGGAAAAAGACTCTGGGAAATTCAGTTTGAACACTAGCGACTGAGCTCAGAACATCTTTCTGGAAAGAGGTTTACAGAAGAAAGCAGCAGTCTAACCTTTGGTAGCTTGTGACTCAGACATAACACCAGAATGATGAGTCTCAAAGTACGGTTCTCAGACAAGTTGCAGCAGCCTCACCTGAAGACTTATTAGAGATGCAAATTCCCAGCCCTACATTATACCCACTGGAGCAGATGTTCTGGGGCTGAGGCCCGCAAGATGCACTCCCATGCCTTCCAGGCGATTCCAGCGCAGGCTGAGGTTTGAGAAGACTGCTGTGAAATGGGCTGGGAGGCCCCATTATATAATATTTCCAACAAGGCAGCCTCATGTTGCTTCACTGAAGTCACTCAGAGAAGCCTCCACCCCTCCTGCTTTTCCAAGAGTCGTGTCATTTCAAGACTTCCGCACTGGCTGTAGGGAGTAGAGACAGCCAGGCTCTGAGCCTGACCCCAATGGCTTACATGTTTCCTAGACAGAATATCTGTGACTACCAAGAAGATATCCATATACTGATGATTTATTTTATTGAAAAATATACTAGCAATATAGAGACAGATATTTAGACCATCTGGCTGATAATCAATTTAGAGCTACTGATGACCATACTGGCTCACATTTGCCCTGTAAATCACTGTTCTTGGATTCCTGAGAACCACATACTTTATAACCTTAGAGAAAAGCCATGCTGTAGTTTTCAACATGTTTCCTCATCCATTATCTCAGTTCACCCTTCTCGCAAATCTACAGAGGAAAAGAGCAGAAGCAGAGCGATCTGATGCCCACCCATTATGATGAAGCTGAGTCTCTGGACTCCAGGCTAGAGCTGTGTTTGTGCACCAAGCCCCTGCCAGAGCAGCTCTGTGGAAAGGGAGAAAGGAGAAAGCCTTGAGATAGACAGGGCTTGACAGGACCCTGAGGCCCTGGTGGCATGGGGACAGACACACTGGGGAAAGCAGCGATCCTGCTGCCGGTTCTGAAGGGAAGAGAATAACTTCTGGTGATTTTTACCTTCTAGAATCTGGTGGACCCTGGAGTCCCGCACATACTGCTGAACGGCATAATCCTTCAGGTAGCCATAGCCTCCGTGCATCTGTAAGGCCTGGTTGCAGATCTGCAGGGAGATAGGGACTAGACATCTTGGACTCTGGGAAGACTGTAAAGAAAGCAGCTTCCCCTTCTACCCCAGCCCACGATCTGGCAGCCTGTTGTAAACTGATGAGAGAAAGAACCACAAGCAGCCAAGCTCAAAGAGGGCCTCAACATTCTGTATGATGGGAGACAAGGGAAGTTCATCTACTAAACTTGTCTGTTCCCATCAGACAGGTGACTCAAATCCCTCAACCTGTGTCGCTTATTACCTGCCAGGCAGAAGCTGCCCACAGCCACCCTGTGGAATAAGAAGCTACGGTTTCCCCCAGCGGCAATGCAGCCTCAGTGGAGCTCTGCCCCTGACAACGTAAACATGGCAGAGCACTAAATTTGGGTTGCAAACAACAGTGACATAATAAAGTGTGTAACGGCATGCAGTAGATCTAAAACCCAGCTATGAGCTCCCACGCAGGCCACTCATGAGTTAATTTATCACCTAAAGCTTAAGATGATCCTTGTGGCATTCCGGGAAGGCTGGGTTCCAAAGCTGACTTATGCCTCTCAAGACCCCTGGGCCTAGCAGCTGTTCCCTGTCCATCCCAGGAGAGCCAAAGGGATCACTTACAGCAAAGCATTCATCTGTAGCAAAGAGCTTGGCCATGGAGCACAAGGCCACTGCATCTTTCCTGTCGTCCTGCAGAGCCACTGCTGCATTGCGGATCATCAGCCGCGAGGCCACCAACCTTGTTGCCATATCCGCCAGTTTGAATTGCAAGTACTGCAGCACAGGGAGACGAGAACAGACAAGACTGAGAGGCTTAGAACACCACCTGGTTCAGGAGCCTTGGTAAGACATCTCTGAGGCGCCTTTTCTAAGTGATCCAAAGCTTCAAAGACTCTTGCTTCTTCTACAGAGGAAATTTATTCCTGTATAAATGCTAAGTCCACTTCACTCACCTGACACTTTCATATCATTAAAGATATCCTGAAAAAAGATGGATAGAAATAAAGTACAAGCTCTAAGACAGTGGTGAGACTTATGGAGGATTTCCTGGCTTCTCTCCTAGAAAATGTGGGCTGCAAATAGTGGAAAGCCATGTGAAGGCAAGGAAGGGATTACCTGGCTACTGGCCAAAGGCTCTCCAAACTGCTTCCGGACGTTGAGATGGTCTCGGGTGAGGATGATAGAGGCATGGGCAGCCCCCAGAGAGCAGGAAGCTGTCAGGGAAGGGCGCTGACATTCCAACTGAGCTGGAAAACAGCACTGCCAGTCCCGGCCCGCTACCTCCCTGCCCCACCCCTTTGTGTCTCACCAATGTTGATCCTCCCTCCGTTCAGTCCTTTCATGGCAATGAGGAAGCCCTGCCCCTCACTCCCAATTCTGTTGGCCATGGGGACAGCACAGTCTTCGAAGATCACTGCTCGTGTTGGCTGCGAGTTCCACCCCACCTGGCAAAAATCAGGGACTGTGTGGCTGCCCAACAATCCAGCAAGTAGGGCAGCCTTTCCTGGAGACAGAAGTCTGTGAGGTATGGGTTTCAGCACCCGAGAATTAGACCCGCAAGAACTTAAAATGAGGAAAAAGAAAAAGTTAAGATTTAAAGGCATGTCAACAGTCACAAAGATATGTTACAGCTAAGCATTTTCTAACTTACTAAGAGAATCTACTTTATAATGTCTACCCTACCTGACTAACCTACACACACTTCTCACGACTTCTTTTACGATTGTAGCACAAACTGCCCTCATTTTCAGTGCCTCTAATTGAGAACACTTTATACAAGAACAGAGACAATATAAGGACAATCTGGAGCATTATTTACTTCTAAGGGCCTTAGCAATAGCCACACTTGTCTTTTGAAATGCTCAGTGTTCCTAAAAGATTAACATCATTACACGGAAGAAATGACATGCACTGCCAGCAACACCTGGTCTAGCACTTAGCTGCTGGGACATAGAGTCATGTGCTGGCACTTGCTCATGGGAGCTAATCATGTACTTTTTTTTTCCCTAACTCAGCATTCCACGATGTCACAGTGGTGGCCTGAAATCAGCCATCGTGAGAGAATTTATACGATAGAAATTGGCAAACATTACAAATGTGTGTGTGTGTGTGTGTGTGTGTGTGTGTGTGTGTGTTTCCCCACACCCCCAAAAGAGCTGATCTAGCAGGACATCTGGCTGTTAGTCATAAGCTCAGAGAAAAGTTTGAATTCTTGAGATATAGTTCATGTCATGCAATTAATTAGCTGCATTTTTCACCTGTAGACAAATCACTTGATTTCTCTGAGGCCTTTGTTTCCCTGATAATGAAACAAGGGAGTAGGATAGAAAGGCAGCAGAGCCTCTGTCTTTGAACTAAATCTTGCATATAAACAGATGAGGCCCCACTATGTGATCCCCTTCATCTCCTCTCCCAGGTACTGCAAGACTTCAAATAACTTTAAGGCTTAAGGATCCATTTTGAAACCCATAAACCATCTAAAATCTCCCAGTCCCTTTCTGGCTCTGAAAATATTACTGCCTTTACATCATTTCCTTGCTCTCTTTTGTTGATAGGATAAACTCCATTTCTAAGCCTTGTATTGAAGGTCTTTCTGCCCAGGAGTTAGCATAGGCTTTGTACACAGCAGAAACCTAAGAAATGGCTACTGTGTTACCAAAAAGAAGGGGGTGCTAAAATGCCTTGGCAGTTACAGAGGATCAGGAAGAACCCTGCAGGAAAACATGGAAACCCGAGGAGCTGTGAGAAAGAGGTACACTTGGGAGTCATTTCCTTACTTGCCTTCTCTCACAAAGTCCTCCATGTAATAGTGCAAACTAGAGAGAGATGACTGCTTTGAGCATCTGGTCTAAAAAAATCTGAATGGGTCTTGAACCCTTACTACCAATTACAGTTACACAATCACAGATCTGTTCATGGCCAGGCCATGGCGTTCCTTGATCCTGGAAGTGTCTTACTTTTCAAAGCACCTATAGTACCTAAGTGTCCTTAGGTTGCTGAAATACCCACAATCATCTCCAATGAGTTTTACTTTATTTTTAATCAAAGAAGAAAAAGGGACCACATGCCTTCCATTACTGAGACTTGTGGTCAACCCCAGGTCTTCTCTAAGTGTCTCTTCCTGGAGTAACAAAGTCCACCAACATAAGAAGCTGGATAAGAAACACAGGCCAAAAGTGGAGGCAGGAGAGGTGAGAACACTAAATAACAGGTGGCTTGTGGAACTTACTGGCAAACTCTGTCACTTTCCCCAGAGGCCTAGTGTCTAACAATGCCCTACTGTATTTTATATGCTCCTGTTGAAAATCCTAATAGAAGCAATTGCTTCAAAGGTAGGAGAGCAAGTATGCAAACCTGTTTTCTGAAACAGAGCAGCAGTTGGGCTGGCACATGGCAGAAACTCGTAACTTGAATTGCTTCTTGCCAACAGCCACTCACCTTTTTCTCCTTCTTGCCAAAGCTGAGGCCAGGGGTCCCCTTTTCAACAACGATGCATGAAATGCCCTTGGGGCCTGATCCTCCCGTTCGGCACATGACCACATAGATGTCTGACTCACCAGCACCACTGATGAAGGCCTGTGAGGGTAAAACAGGTACACAAGGACCAGGAAATGCGTGAGTTCTTGTAGCTTCTGGGAACACCACTGGGGTCCTCCTAACAATAAAGTCTAATGACACAGAGATTGAGGAGAGGTAAAGGTAGCTGCAGTGACTGCAGAATCAGAGATTTCGTTCATGAGAGTATTAAAAGGACAGACAAAAGTCAGTAAAATGATCTGGAATAGATCAGGAGAGAGAGAAACAATGAGAATAAAGAAAGAGAAATGAGTCAGAGGTTCTCTTCCCAACACATAAAAATCCTATGGGAGTATTAACCCGTAGATGTGAAGGAACCAGAGGATGTCAGGAAGAAGCTGGGAACAATCTCCAAGGTGCTCTGGGAGGACGCATGCTAGTACCTTGGAGCCATTGAGGATGTAATGATCTCCCTGTCTTTTAGCAGAGGTCAGAAGAGAGGCAGCATCACTCCCACTTCCTGAGGAGAGATCAAAAGGCAGCAGAGAGAGGGTGAGAAAGTCAGTGAGGTCAAGGGAGTCCAGCACAATTCTATCTCCTAGGAAATGTTCCCTGGACAGACACTGCTCAGAGGGTGCCACTGCAAAATCCAGGTGGCCAAAGGAACTCCGTACTTGCTGAAAACTGCTTGCACCAGTCAGGCCACTGTCTATCGCCCAACCCACTAGATAGGCCTCCTGGTTCTTGTGACATCAGGTCATAGGACTCTATTACTTCTCAGCCAAAAATACTGGTAAATAGTGGCTCAACATGTCAACAGGCTGGAAGGAGCGATGGGTGATGCCAAATGAGGCGCACCTCTCTCTCTGCTGTATCTCAGTGCAGTGTGGCAAACCCACCTGGTTCAGTGAGGCAGTAAGAAGCAAACTTCTCCATGGTACAGAGCGGTGGGCAAAATCTGTGCCTCTGTTCCTCATTTCCAAAGCTATCAATCATCCAGGCACACATGCTAATAGGTACACCAAGAAGAAAAGACATGGACAGAAATAACAATGGAAAAGAAAAAAAAACTGGGGGAGAAGGGGAAAGAGAACAAAGGGCAGGGCAGTAAAGCAGAAGACTGGGAAGGGGAAAGTCACAACTGGAAAGATACTTTAAAGGAAAGGGCTGGATTAAAACATATTCCTGGAATATGAACTACCCAGAGATAACCAGGCCCATGTACTTCTCACCAGGACGTTTGTACTACTAGTCAGGTTATACAAGCCTCTAAAAATCAAAGCATTATATGTACTTTCTATTAGTACCTTCTATTACTTCCTCAAATCATGGGCAGTTCTGTCTTTGGATTGAAACGGGTGAGAGGACCCTGTCCACACTATTGGAGAAGTCTCCTAGTACCAGCTCAATCTTAAGATTTCTGGGAAGTCTGGCTGACCTGATTCTCTAAGCAATACAAAGGACAATAGAATCAAGTCCAACAGGCAGCAGCAAACCTAGCATGTTTCTTGAGGACTCTCGGCCTCACAAGATCAATCTTTTTCCTATGAATCTGAACTCTCAGTCAACCCATGTGCACTTCATTGTGCTTTCCAAGCTTCGGCACTCACTTGTGGATGCTTATATAGGCTGTAGTGCTGGTGCAGCCTGTAGCCAAGGCTTCAAAAATGACCGAGGTATCAAGCCGTGACAGTCCAGACCCACCCACATCTGTTTGTACATAGACCCCTCCGAAGCCTAGCTGGGCTGCTTTCCGCATCACATCCACTGGGAACAGCTCCTATATACAAAAGAGAGCAAGGTCATCAGCAACTGATTCAGAGACGGCTTTCCTTTCAGTGGGTACAATGAGGAGATTAGGATGCTTACACATAAGTGAGCATATGGATTCTCTTAATATGCCTGTTTGTCATCTTACAGTGGTTATCAGTTAACATGGGTCATGTAAGAACTGTTTTTCTGGCATTGTGATGTTTCTTTTTATTATCTATAGAAATGTCTTAGTTTTATGTCCACATCTTTGTTCAACTAACAAAAGAAAGTTATGCACAAGATGATCAGGATGCCTTTCTAGGAAAGGAATCATCCACTACCGGTATTCTAACTTGTAGCAAGAGTTGGTAGGTGGAGGAGACATTGAACAATTGGATTATCAGGAGACAAAGATAAAGGTCTACCTGAAACATCTGTTAGAATGTCTAAGCACAGAAAAACTCCTACCTTCTGGTCCCACTCTGCCATATTTGGAGCCATCTCCTGGGCAGCAAAGTCAAAGGCCACTTTCTGAAATTCTTTCTGCTCTTCATTAAGTCCCATGGAAGCTGTGGGCAGGACTGCATATACTCAGTTATAGGACACGGTCAGGGAAGTGTGGCCAGCAAGAAGCACCACGAAGCTGTCAAAGTGGATCTACTATAGTATTTCACATTCACAGTACAGCTTTAACAGCCTGAGAACGGCATCTTCCATCATCGTTCCACTTGTCATATGGAGAAAGGACAGTTCTAACACACATCCAGATCAACCTAGAACAGGATGGAGGACTTCCAGACATCTCTTATCCTAGCCACTTAGGAAAATGCAGTTGTAGACCTAGAGGTCGAAGTCACAGTGCTAAAACTTTGATCATTATAAGTGCCACTAAGGAGCACCATGGGAAGACTATGGAGACACACTTGACAATAATTTACTTCAGCGCCTATGAAGTGATCCAGTCCTTACAAAAGAACACAAGTGCAGGTGCCAGAATCTGTTTCTTGGGGCAAATGTGGGCATCAGTAATGGCTGGCTATGTGAGCCTGGAGAACACTTCCGTCTGTGATCAGTACTCTCATTAAAGTGGGAAAGTCAGAAATGAATAGTTTTGAGGATTAAAAATTTGACTGCCTTGAAAAGCTCAGAGCAGAAAACTATGATAGGTATTACTCTCAGGAACAGAATTAGGGATAAACAATTCATGGTTCTCTGACTGGGGTCAGGCCATTCCTTTACCCAATTTTGTACAGGGGTTGCTGTAGACCATGGCTCAAAGATCACTCCCTAAAGAATGTGTATTGGGTGTTTACTACATAGCAGTGCTGGGGTTACACAAATAAATATGGTCCAGTTGCAGTGCGGCTCATGCCTGTAATCCCAGCCCTTGGGGAGGCCAAGGCGGGCGGATCACTTGAGGTCAGGATTTGAGACCAGCTTGGCCAACATGGTAAAACCTCATCTCTTCTAAAAATACAAAAATTAGCCAGTCATGGTGGCACACACCTGTAATCCCAGCTACTCTGGAGGCTGAGGCAAAGAATTGCTTGAACCTGGGAGGCAGAAGTCGCATTGAGTCGAGATCGCACCACTGCACTCCAGCATGGGTGACAGAGCCAGACTCCATGTCAAAATAAATAAATAAATGAATAAAATCCATTCACACAAGATGACATAAATGGTAATAACGCAAACATTTTATTTCAATCCTAGCAAGAACTCATTAAATGTTAACAATTCTTCTTCTTTTGTAAATGGCTACTTCCTAAAACAAATAGTTCAAGGAACCACAGGCTTAAGAAATAAATCCTGGCCAGGTGTGGTGGCTCATGCCTGTAATCTCAGCACTTTGATAGGCCAAGGTGGGTGGATCACCTGAGGTTAGGAGTTCAAGACCAGCCTGGCCAACATGGTGAAGCCCTGTTTTTTTTAAAAAGAAAGAAAGAAAATCCTTAGTTGCATTCTAATAGCAGAAAATGGTTTAATGCAAATCATATGCATAAGTAATTAAAAAAACAACCTAATTACCTAAGTTCCCAGAAGGCAATACACTACAAAAAACAAAGCAAACAACACCACTCATGAACTTTGCTAGTTACTGGCAGAGTTCAAGATGCCAGTACATACACACTAAAAAGATGAAGCTAAATAGAAAAATAGCCCAAATAAAATGGGAAAAGCCTTTTACTGCAGAGCAACTCAAGTGTAAGCAAGATGCAAACAACAGAACCCACCTCTAAATAATTCTTTACCTGCTTTGGTATCAACCAGAGTGATCTGGGTTATCAGATTCTACGTGTTAGGACAGGGCAGCACCTCTTGAAGGAGTTTTAGGACATTGAGAAGAAAACAGTATTCTATGCCTTACTGTACTTTATAGGTCTGATGTATTCTGTTGTAAAGAAAACTGTCATTTATTTAAAATAAATTTTAAAATGTTTCAGAAGAAAAAAGTGTTTATAAAGGTGCTTGGCAGAGAAGTCACAAACTGGCCGGATTCCTTCAGTTCCCCGCTGGGTCCCCACCACTCCTTGTTACATTCAAATTATTTATTGGTTAGAGCCTGCAGACCTTCAGGTTTGTTGGCTCCGGTAGTTTCTCACTTGCAATAATAATTATTTTTCCTGGTTAAGTAAATGTGTCTTCTAGCCGGAAGCGTTATGATACCAAATCTTTCTGTGTGAGCCAATCTCGCATGCCCTGCCACTATCAGCACTCAGCCAGCTTCTTACATTCTCTCTCCCTTTATGACCCACCGTTAGCATTTTAAAAACCAACCAACCCAGCAACAACAAAGCCCCATGTTTCTTCACTTCTCTAAGCAACCGAGGGTGAAAGGCCGGAGGAGGACCCGGGCTAGGGGTGACAAGCCGGAGGGGAACCCGGGCGGGGATCACCGGCCGGAGAAGGGCCCGGGAGGGGTTGACAGGCCGGAGGAGGACCTGGTGGTGACTGACCGGAAAGGGAAGCTGGGCCGGGGTTGACGGGCCGGAGCGGGGAGCCGGGTCGGGGGTGACGGGCCGGAAGGGGGAGCTGACGCCGGGGTGACTGAATGGAGCGGTGAGACCGCGGCCCCTCGCGAACACCTGTCCTCCCGCCCCCGGCAAGCGATCCTTACGGTCGATGCAGGAGGTCAAGCTCCGGTGGCCGGTCTGGACGAGGGCCCAGAGACCGCCAGGCAAACAGCCGAGGCGTGCCCCGAGGCACCGGCAGCCGCTCCCCAGCATCGCTGCCGCAGCTCACTGTCCAGCTGAGTACTAGAGCGCCTTTCACCGCCGCTACATTCGCACTCCAGGACCTGCGACCCGGCAACGCCTGCCCCACTGCACCCTGGGGGTTGTAGTCCTCCCACAAGCCCCCACAATTCTGGTCCCAGAGGGTCTCCCAAGGACCAGGACCACAACTCCCAGAAGCCCCCGGGATCTCGGCGCCACAGAGACGCATAGCCCACCGAGCGCCGCGGGATCGCGCTGCACAGCCTCCGGCGCTGAGGTGGGGGTCGCGGTTACGTCTGCAGAGTGGTGGGTCTGTGTGGTGAGAGAGGGGTGCGTGGATGAGAAAAGCCAAGGAAAGAACCGAGGAGAGTTTAGGGGCAGGTTATGCGAAATGGAAATGCGCAGATAACGGAGGGAAGGATTTGAGGGGCTCAAACACAGGTGTCTTTCGCAAAAGTTGTGGACACTCTAGGCTGCCTCTAGTTGCCTCCATCTCGCTCTGCGTGGGTTTTGGGGGATATTAGCATTCCTTGTATCTCGGTTGATTCCAGAGTCTTCCGCACTTCCCTGCAGGGAGACCATGTCGAGACCCCGGAAGAGGCTGTCTGAGACTTCTGGCCCAGGTGAGCTGCCCCTAGGCTGCACAAAGGCAGCCCGAGAAAGAACCTTTTGTGATTTTTTTATTCCATTTTCCTTAATCACTCTCTTTTTTTGGAGACGGAGTCTCTCCCTGTCACCCAGGCTGGAGTGCAGTGGCGTGGCCTCGTCTCACTGCAACCTCCGCCTTTCGGGTTCAAGCGATTCTCTCGCCTGTCTCCCTAGTAGCTGGGACCACAGGCGGTGCCACCACCTCCAGCTAATTTTTGTATTTTTAGTAGAGACGGGGTTTCACTATCATGGCCAGGCTGGTCTCGAATTCCTGACCTCATGATCCGCCCCCCTCGGCCTCCCAAAGTACTGGGATACAAGCGTGAGCCACCGTGCCCGGCCCCACTCTCCATCTTCGTTACTGGTCTCACCAAGCTCCTACGTCGAGTTCCTTTTGCTTGTTTTATTTACGAAGACCATTTGCTATTGCAAAAACTGGGTGGCGTGCTAAAGTAATGAATATACAGCGCCTGCTCGTGGGTAAACTGCAAACAGATGTGAGGGATTTTGGGAGAATGGATTGTTAAGGTTATAGAGGGAGGAATCACAGGGAAGACCTTGAAAAGAAGTGGAGTTTGAGACCAGCCTTGGAAAATGGGAGACTTTCCACGGGCAAAGCTGTAGTACTAAGAAAACGTGTCGCTTTTATATTCACAAAGCTGGATGGTATTCTAAGTGGATGGAGGAGGAACATTGGAAGATACACAAAGTACTTCTTTTGGGAATGACGGGTTCCAGATGCACTACAGCACATTGCAGTTATTTAACATGTGGTGTTCACAGTGTGCCTGTGACTCCTAAGGGGCCACTAGGAAACTAGGTTAGAAAGGTATGCTGGGTTCAGAGCATTAGACATCCGTAAATGGCATTTAATGACAATTGATGTAGGGACTTTGATTAAATTCTGAGGCAGTATAGTATAGTCATTAAGTAGCTTCAGATAGACCTCAGTGACAGGTTCTGACCTCATATCTTGATTCCACTGTTACTGGATGTGTCATCTGGAGCACACCTCCCAGATGAAGCATAGAACATATCATAGGTTATGTAGATTAACCAAGTTAGGGCTAGGGTAACACATAGACCTTGGGTCTTGTCATATAGTAACCTAACAACTTAGCTACTGAATGCCTACTGTGTTCCAGGCACACTGTCTTAGGATGAAATCGAATCCACCATATCTACAATGTCCTGAATAATTTTCTTTCAACTTTTATTGGCACCTTCAAGGAGAAGAAAGGCGACAGGCCATGAGCCACAGTGAGCAAGAAGGAAAGAAGTATGAGATGAGGATAATACTGGCTTTTATTGAGCACGTACTGTAATACCAGGCATTGTCTAGGCCCTTTGTATTATCTCATTTAAGCTTCAAAACAGTTTCAAGTAGGTGCACAGTTTCCTCTTTCCTTTCCTATGCAAAGGCATAGAAGAGAGGAGGAGGAAAGGAAAACATTTATTGACTACTGTCAGGACCTTTAATCCTGAACAACCCTGTAAGGTGTTCTTATCCTATTGAGTAGACAGCCCAGAAGATACCCTGTCAGATTGGCATTCTTGTCTAATTTTTATAGATAAGGAAAGCCTCCTAATGGTAAGATTAAGGTCCTACAGCTGGTAATGGATCCATGATTTGAATCCAGGTCTGATTCCAAAGTGCAGGCTTTTTCCATCATGAAACATTGCCTTTAACAAGCATCTTTTCTTTTTGCTTCTCTTGTTGCAGACAAGGGGCTATCAGGAAAACGCACCAAAACTGGGGACTCAGGTGAGGCATTAGATAAAGTGGAGGACTCCAACCCTCAGAAGACTTCAGCCACTAAACACTGTGTGAATAATCTAAGCAGCCACTGGCTGATGAAGTCAGAGCCAGAGAGCAGACTCGAGAAAGGTGTAGATGTGAAGGTGAGACCCTGGACCTGTCTCCAGTCCCTTCATGCTGTTTTTTAAATGAGAAGTGAATATGGGACACCGTAGGATTCCATCCCCAGCTTCTTATTTTTGAAGGGTGGGAAAAAGGTAAAAATGAATAAAATTGGCCGGGCATGGTGGCTCACGCCTGTAATCCCAGCCCTTTGGGAGGCTGGGAGGTTGAGGCGGGTCAATCACGAGGTCAGGAGATAGAGACCATCCTAGCCAACATGGTGAAACCCCATCTCTGCTAAAATTCAAAAACCTAGCCGAGAATGGTGGTGTGCGCCTGTAGTCCCAGCTACTTGGGAAGCTAAGGCAGGGGAATTGCTTGAACTTGGGAGGCAGAGGTGGCAGTGAGCCAAGATTGCGCCACTGCACTCCAGCCTGGTAACAGAGCAAGACTCCGTCTCTAAGTAAGTAAGTAAATAAAATCGGCAGAGTTTATCATCATCAACTGTTTTGTGAATCCGACCTATCTAGGTCAAAGGTTGGCCAACCTTTGCTACAAAGGGCCAGATAGTAAATTTTGTAGGCTTGTGGGTATTAGTCTCTGTTGCAACCCTGCCCTTGTAGCAAGAGAGTGGCCAGAGATAATACATAAACCACTGTGGTTGTTTTCAAGTACAATTTATTCACAAAATCCAGCATGGGGTTAGATCTGCCCTGAAGGCTATGTAGTTTGCCAACCTCAATCCTAGTTTACCTTCCTTTGACCATCTGCCATGCTCCTAGGTGTCTCCCTGCCAACAGTTGGTGTATATTTCAGGGAATTTAATATAGCCTGGGGAAAATATAAGCAGAAATATTATAGAAGAAATATATAATAACGTGCAATCCAAGTAACCAGCAGATGACTTTATCATCCAGATTATTCAACTAATGGATATCCATTCAGCTAATTATGAGGATAATTAGCAAGGATAACAAGGTAACACAAGGTTTACTTATATTCACCCAACAAAAGTGTCTCTGTGGAGCCACTTCCCAGTAACGACATACTTCCTCTATAGCCAGTGGCCCCTGTCACTGTAGGGGGAGGAACTGTCTGCTTCAATATATGCTTACCAGCTGGCCAAGGATTAATGATTGACTTTATTTCCTCTTGCCTAGTTCAGCATTGAGGATCTCAAAGCACAGCCCAAGCAGACAACATGCTGGGATGGTGTTCGTAACTACCAGGTAAGAGGAGGGTAAGGAGCAGGCTCACTGAGACCCAGGTGGGATAAACGCCTGCCTCCTCCTCATGACTTATTCAGTAGCAGAACCTTTTGGCCTAGGTTGCTTTTTTTTCAGAACCAAACCTGACAATGTATTAAAAAATTCCTTAAGTACTCTACATGAAATTTGCAATTGGCCTATGTCCTGGCCAGTATATTGGTAAAAGTTTGGGTGTCCTGGCAAAGGGGAGGGACTTTCTAATGAATTGTGGAGAAGTTGCAAACAAGAAAAACCCATCTAATAAAAGCAGACTTGATTTCTGCTAAAAGCTAGTACTTTCCATCTGGTGGGGAGGATCATTCTTGTTTCTTCTCTGAGACAGGCTCGAAACTTCCTTAGAGCCATGAAGCTGGGAGAAGAAGCCTTCTTCTACCATAGCAACTGCAAAGAGCCAGGCATCGCAGGACTTATGAAGGTTAGTTGGACAGGTTTCGGTCTGAATCCTTTTCCTTCCAGGGAGACTAACTTAAGTCAATATAAAGGGATACATGTTAAATAGGTAACAAAAAAGTACACTCCCCCTAGCCCGCCCACCTTGTCACAAGAATAGGGAAAAACTGCCCGGGCCCATTTCTTTATGACAACTCAAAGTAGGCCTTCATTTCAGGTCCTACCAGCACAGACTTCACTCCACGTCTTAAGTCTTGATCCCACTCGAAAACAGGCCTGATAGTAGCTCCTCCAAGCGTATCATGATAAAATTATTAACTGTGCAGGTTGGAAAAACACAGTGGTAACAGTAATAACCTTTGCCATTTGTTTTTAGAGCTTGTTTCTAAGACTTGTGTAAAAACAGAATTGATTTCCTAGACTATGTATTAGACTATATTATTATTTCCAGATATCTGAGCCTCCATTGGCTCTACAGCAAGGCAGATGGGGTAAGAACGTGCAGGGTAAGAAATTAAAGTTGTATATGGATTAAAGATTGGCTGTAGAGCTGACTGCAGGCAAATGATAAGAAACTTTTGTTTTGGTTTCAGATCGTGAAAGAGGCTTACCCAGACCACACACAGTTTGAGAAAAACGATTCACATTATGACCCATCTAGCAAAGAGGACAATCCTAAGTGGTCCATGGTAAAGACTATGCTTCCTATTTCATGACAAAGGATGAACAAGGGGAGGAAGACAGTTAGGGTGACTGTAGGTCAAGGTACACAGCCCAGCACTTATTCAGATGAGGTGATGCTGACTTTGGAGTTAGGAACTTCCTGCAGGCAGTTAAAAACACAGCAGGCAGGGTTTCGCTAGACA